TTTATATATCTTGTACCTTAATTATGTTATTGTGCTATGTTAGAAGTTAAAAATGTATTTGTGAAAAACAGTCTTGCTACTTATTGAAGTTAGATATACAGTATAGGACAAAATGCATATACATCAAAGGAAATGCACCTTTCCCATTGTTCAGGGGAGACAATATCAGCCTTAAATCGAACCTCAGACTTCAACCGTGACTTTGCTGCAATGGATTCAGTACGCTTTTCAAAGTCACCCTGTCAAAAACAACATTGCATTAAACTATCAAAGAAAGGGACCAAGTTTTTGGTACAAAACAAACTAAAAGGCAGGTGAGGTTTTTGGTATTTAGCCAATATGTAAGGTTGGTCTAACCCCAACAGAAGGAACTGATGCAGCAGCTCTTCTTGTACCAAAACCCCTTGGTTTGGTTTGGTCTTTCTGAGAAGCACCAAAGATCACAGGAATTAGAAGAACACCTCGTTTGAGCAGTTCAGTCCGGTACCTCTCAGCTCTTTGCAATGCCCGAGTAACAGATACTTTTGAACCTGCCAATATCACCTAAAATACACCTCAAATGACAAGTGACTGAATAAAGATTTCGGAAATAAATGAGAAAAGGAAATTCATTTCAGCAAACATACAGTGGACATTAAAAATGAAGAAAGTTATACTAACAGGCCTAGTGATGTCCCGGAGTTGAACAAGTTCAATAATGCGATTGGTTGACAGGCGCACAGGTAATCTTGAAAGGGTTTCATTACGAGAAATTTGCGTGATCTGCTTCTCTTCTTTCTTGTTTTCCCAGAAATACAAAGCTACCAGCACAACAATACCTGCGGCATACTGATTCAAAAGTTTAATTATTTTTAGTTTAATTGAAAGTGTGAGACAGATGGCATAAAGTTGATACTCTAATCAGGATCAATGAACTAGTAAAATATAAGGGGTACATTTATTTACTTGTGGAAGTTGCTGTTGAAGCATCCCACAAAGAAATAGTTATTCAAGATATTTCAACATAAGAAAACATTGTTGCCATGTCACAGTGGAGCAAAAAGACCTGTGGCCCAACTGTTTAACTCCATGCGACCATGCAAGAACTATCTTTCAGGGCATGGAGCATGTCAATTTACCTCCAATATTGATGGCAGCATTTCCAGCAGTTTCCAGAAGATCAGGGGTGCCATCACCCCCTCGAACTGCTAGTACAAGTCGGGGAATGGTAAAGAATGTTGAAATTCCAGCTGCTGCTGTCAAAGCTACATAGAAGAATCTTCGGACACCACGAAATGGTGCTTGTACTTCACTAATGAGTTTCAGGTCTCTTCGGAAACCAGAACCAATATCTTCTCCACCACGCAAAGCCTGAAATGAAATTACAGGATATAGAAGATCTTATTGCGGACATTAAATTGGACAAAATCAAAACTCAGATCACCCAATCTTCAACTATGATCCGCAGATTACTTCTTATCCAGCATGCAGTAATGCAGTGAAGTTCAAAGTCACAAACCTCTTCTTGAAGTTCCTTGAATTCTGGTGATGCTCTGAATGGCGCCAAGTCTGGATCGTTAAGTATGGTACCAAATTTGAGATTGTAGTCTCGCAAAGCTTCCCTTAAACATTCTGCAGCTTTTTTGCTTTCTTCTCTGGTCCAAACAGATGCAGAAATTAAATGAACAATAAAAAAAACCTTAAAATGTTCTGATTGTGGAACAAGAGATTCCAAATGATTCCACAAAAAAAATCTCTAAAGACCTTGATTTCTGTTTTTTTTTTAGTTTTGTTAATGGTTTTTAGTATTTATTTATAGTTAGATACATTAATTTGAAGCATTACTACACATGATCTCACTGACAAATAGATGAAACTTCTAATGAGTAGCCTAAGTAAGCATGGTGCATGCATAGTGCAAATCCAAGTCAAAGTGTCCTCACCTATACGCATGGCAGCATGCCTTGTTATACAGCGCTGCTTGGGCCTCAATAGATGTTGGATTCAGCTCTAAGGCATTCTCAAATTGTTCAAGAGCATCCTTCACCTAAACAAGTGCAAATAAAATGACAACAGAATGCATGTAATGATTGTAGACGTCCCTTCAATGAATGATAAAAAAAAGTGAACCTATGAAGACTGTGATCAAACGTGCAGCCTCTTGATTGAGCCCTTTAAGCATCTAGCAGTATAATCACGATACTACTGGCCTTTATGTTTACCAGATTATTGATTCTTTCTTCACCAGTGTACTAATTCCGGCTTAATGCCAGCCAAACACCAAGGCACTGATTGCCAATAGTTTTCAAGTTGGAGGCTGTCATAATCTGCCAATACATTTTATCCTAAGGCAGGCGAATAGTGAAATCAATCGATACTACCAAGAATCACTTACTTTCTTGCTTAAAAACCAATCACTTAATTTGGTTCCACCGTTTCCATAAAGGTACATGGTAAAACATTTGTTCGATGCAATAAAGCAGGCACTCCTATTAAGCACTCAGCCTCGATAAACTTAGAAAAATCAGTCCCAAACTCAATTAAGCTCGACATATACATGGTAGTAATCTATCCTACAACTCCTGTAGTTGAATTCACGAGCTATATGCTAACATGGACAAGTCTTCCTGGGAGTTGCTTGTGCACCCGAACTGAAACGTTCCCACAAAAACTGAAAGAAGTTTTATTAGTTGAATGGCCCTCTTCATCATTAAAAATGACTGAATCTAACGCTAAGCGTGGCGTATCGCTCGAAGGTTGCACTACAGCGCCTCGGCGTCGGGCTTCACTTACCCTGCCCTTGGAGAAGAGCTGGAGGCCGATGTTGACGCAGGACTCAGCTGTTGGCACCACCTCTGCCGCCGCCTCCTTCTCCTGCGACGGCGGCGGAGACGGGGACGACGAGGCGTTGGAGCGGAGCACACAGCGGCGACGGCGGCGGGTGGGGAGGGGGGAAATGAAGGCCGGTGTTTGGAGGATGAGACTGGAGATTGCGGCGCCACCGCCGCCAGATAGGGGGGAGAGCTGGGGCCGTGGAGCCGCCGCTACGGCCGCCATTGCCGAGAGAGAAGGGAAGTATGAGGTTATCGTTTTTCTCGTTATCCTAACGGGAGTTTTTCATCGCTTTCGTTCTCGACCGTGACTGTCTGTCACAAAAACAAAAAGAAAACGCAATTAATTTGTGCACGGAATATATGTGGGAGAAAGAGGCATGCGTGTGCAAAATATAAGATTTTTTTTAATGCAATGATGGCTCTGTGGCCTTCTATTAACACATGAACATTTTCAAAGACAGGGAGGGGATAGTCCACACGTGTTCATGACCTGGCTCCAAAGACATGCCGATTGCGCAGACGAGTTTTTGGTACGTTCAATAAAAAAAACACATTTGAACAAACAAAGCGCTTATGCAAGAGCGTACGAATGTTATCAAAGAGGGTTTTTTGTGCAAATTGCTTCCTTCAATAGACTTGAGTCCATCTCCAGCTGGACGCGTGCCATGTTCATCGGCCGATTCCAAAGCCTTCGTGGAAGCCAAGCCTCCGCCATCATTGCGTTATGCACTTGTCCCGCGTTACCGCTTCCTACGAGAATTGGACATCCATAGTGATCTCTTATAATGAACCCCCATGCTCCTTGCCTTGTTTCGTTGATGTAGGCGCCATCTATGTTGATAAACGGTGGTGGCGTCCAATTTCCAATCGGCGTATGCGGACTGCCGAGCACGCACTTTGGTAAATATTCTGAGAGTAAGGAAGAGAGCAACATTTGATGTTAGGTTATTTGTACCCATAAAAAAAATCCTAAAATTTCTTTAGTATCATGGGCTGATTTAGGAATAATGGGTAGCATGCGTGGCCCTTAATATCATGTTTTTTCTCTCGAACACGCATAAGAGTTGCGTATCTTTATATTAATAAAAAGAAGAGAGAGTCATACATACATAGACCCAGATCCACATACAAACATCCACTACTACAGGGAAACTAAATCGTCTGTTTAAAAATACAAGGACGACCCGAACTGTAGCAGTCCTCTAGACTGCTCCTCCTGTCCCCCAGCAGTGAGCAGGGAGATCCCTTTGGCTCCTGCCAGGCTCCACCAATGCGCTTATTCCCTTTCCAAAGTTAGCACCATATTAACATTTGGGGTTGCACCATTGCAAACACAATTATTTCGGTGCCGCCAGATGCTCCTAGCTCCCAAAATGACTAGAGAGTTCAGACCCTTCCTCAAATCTCCACTAGCGGACCTTAATATCATGTTGATAAGAATTTTCAGAGATAGATCAATTTTTCAGTTCACCCGACAATTCATACGAAGATACGCAATTATTATTTGTCATTTGTCATTTACGAGCTTGTCTAGACTGATCACCTCGGTTCGATCCTACTTCTTTTTGAGGGGAATACATGTTATTTCTCTTTTTTTCGAACTATTATTGTGTCCATGCATTATTTAATTGAATCAAACTAATTAGACTTCAATTATACAAACATAACACCCACAACATTGTAGTGTCGTGATGGAGACATGAGTATACGAGTACGACTAAAGTTTAATTTGATTTATCCTTATAGTTGCAAAAAAATGACATATATTCGATGTTTTTTGAAAGGGCATATATTCGTTTTTTTAGTAACATATATTCGTTTTTATTTGAACTCTGTATATATGAAACTGGGTTCGACTAAAACTGAATCCGCACCGGTTTTCAGTTTGGGCTTTTCAGCCTCTGCAGTTCGAGCAGGCTAAGCCCATTCCTTTTTTTTTAAACCGGCTAAGCCCATTCCTACAAAGTAAACCAACATGTCAGCCCAAAACACCGGCCTGCTAAGCGCGTGCAGGGACAAAACCGTAAAACAAAACGAAAACCCTACTGCCGCAGCTTATAACCTGTCGCTGTGCTCCTTTCTGCTCCCTTCTTCCAGCGGCGGCACGAAGCAGAGCGAACCACCAGGCCACAGCGTGCGGTGCGGTGGACGGCGAGAGCTCCGGCGCCCTAGCCCGAGCTCGCAACCATGGTGAGAGCAGCTCCCTACCGCCCGTTAACTTTCGGCTCTCTCCTAAGTCCTACCGTTTTCCCTACCCGACAATCCGCCTTAGTATTTCTTTGCTTTTGTTTTCCACACACTAGTCCTCTGCCTATTGTTAGTTGATTAATAATGTAGCCTGCTGCAAGCAGTAGACAGCAGGAGGGATCGTTTGTGTTTAGTGGTTAATGATCTAACGCAAAAGGGCCATCTAGTTGATTTTTTCTAGGAAAATTATGTGGCGTGTCCTGTAGATGCCTGTGGAGGATTTGAGAATTACGCAATCATGGATATGGCCCATGAGCAGTGGCAGAGCTGGTGAATATTGACGTCTAGGGCCACTATGGGATCACAGAAGTTTAGAACATACAGTATTAAATTATATAAGCCCGCATATAGAGATGTAACAGAAGTGAAGGATAAAAATGTGTAGTTTAAAACATATGGAAATTATACATACTCTATGTCTAGATACATAACAAATTCGATGTACCAAAAAAGTCGGTGAGTTATAATTTGGAATGGAGTGAGTACTTTATAAGTATCTAACATTTTTTTTTATTTGGTCATCTTCGCCTCAAATTTCATCAACTTAGCGAACAAATTTGATAAATGGAGCACCATAGTTTTCAGCTCCTGGTTGTTTAAAGAGAGACAATAAAAACGATAAAGGACTGCTATTTTGTTAGCTCCCACATCTACTTATTCGAAGCTGGATGCCATATTGGCAGTAGAGCGTTCCCTAGGGTTTCAGGGCAAGGATGAGAGAGGTAGAGTGTCAGAGCCAAAGGAGAGGAAGAGAGGCTTAGGGAAGGGGGACGGATTGCGGCATCAGATGTGGGAGATAAAAACAGGCAAAGAAGAGTATTTACCAGGCTGTGGGTAAGGCGCAGACAAGTTTTAGCTGGGCGGCTGGGCCACACATAGGGCCAGATCGACTTGGGCCAAAAAAAATCTAAAGGGCATATTCATGATTTTTGGGCCGTGTCTAGGGCCATCCACCCCTGCCTATAAGCTGTAACGTTGTCTGAAAGACTGAAATGACACTGTAGGAATTGAATTAGGCTTGGAGTGTTGGTGTTCGTCATCGATTTGGCTGCAATGACTACTTTTATATCTTTATCATTTATTCCTTGGTTCTTAATTTCAAGCCATGTACTCCGTTTTTACAGCTTTCTCTGTTTGTATGCCATAGTTTATGTGGCTTTGTGCTGAACACTACTCTATATTTACATATGCTGTTATTTTCTGAACAGGCGAGGGGATTGAAGAAGCATCTGAAGAGGCTCAATGCGCCCAAGCACTGGATGCTAGACAAGCTCGGTGGAGCCTTTGTAAGTTGATGTATTTTGCTTGTGTGCTTTAAATGGTCTACTGTCGTTTTGTTTTCAGTTTTGTGATGCTTCAAATTCAAATTGTGCTATGTGCTTGTCAGGCTCCCAAGCCATCATCTGGGCCTCACAAGTCCAGGGAGTGCCTGCCCCTGATTCTGATCATCAGGAACCGGCTCAAGTATGCCTTGACATACCGTGAGGTGATATCCATTTTGATGCAGCGTCATGTGTTGGTTGATGGCAAGGTCAGGACTGACAAGACCTACCCTGCTGGCTTCATGGGTATGCACAAATGTTTCTTTCTTGGATATGGCAATTTAACATTTCTCATTTACTCTCGCCTTATATGCAGTTATGTTGTCTATTTGCAGATGTCATCTCCATTCCAAAGACTGGTGAGAACTACAGGCTTCTCTATGACACCAAGGGTCGCTTCCGCCTTCACTCTGTTAGGGATGAGGACGCAAAGGTGAGCACTAGCTGAGGCCATAACGTAATCTCACACTAATCCTTGACAAGTAATGCATATGGGAATATAAGTTTGAATGCTGTGCTTTGTCAGTTGATGGTTCATTGTGGTGGCTTGGTTATTTGAACAGTTTTATTTTCCTTACATTCTCTGGAGTTCACTTTTGTAAGGATAGGCAATATTACTCCTTTAGAAACATAACTCTGATATGTAGTTGACAATGTGTATTCTGAATTGCACTTTTAGTTAGAACTCAATGTGATGTATCAACTGTTGCTATTCTACCAATAATCGTTATTCTTATGTTTCTACCTCTTATTTTCGTGCAGAATTTTGTATTACCGAAATTGTATTGTTAAAATTTTGTCTCTTACTGCAGTTCAAGCTTTGCAAGGTCCGTTCTGTCCAGTTTGGTCAGAAGGGCATTCCGTATCTGAACACATATGATGGGCGCACCATCCGCTATCCTGATCCTCTTATTAAGGCAAATGACACAATCAAGATTGATCTGGAGACAAATAAGATCGTTGATTTCATCAAGTTTGACGTGGGCAATGTCGTTATGGTCACTGGAGGGAGGAACACTGGTCGTGTTGGTGTGATAAAGAACAGGGAGAAGCACAAGGGAAGCTTTGAGACCATTCATGTGGAGGATGCCTTGGGCCATGCCTTTGCCACCCGTATGGGCAATGTGTTCACAATTGGCAAGGGCAACAAACCATGGGTGAGTCTCCCCAAGGGCAAGGGTATTAAGCTCAGCATCATTGAGGAGCAGAGAAAGCGGGATGCCGCTGCTCAGGCTGCTGCAAATGCTTAAGTGGTTTGCTGAAACATTGACTTCAATGAAAACATGCCGCGCATCTGAGTTTATACGGCTGGAATGTAACTCTTTTAGGCTAGTAGTTATTAGTTTTTTAAAATACTGTAGACATCGATCTACCAGGTTTACATCACCTCAAGGTCAAGTCGTTTCAGAAATTTTAATTTGGTTCCATTCTCGTTCAACTTGCAACTTGGATGAATGAGTTAAGGTTTGGTTTCTGTTCTTGACAGTTCATTTCGTGGTGAAGGAATGAATTTATCTGTTTATGCAGCTTTGTTTGTTGTTGAAAAGAACCCAATGGCTATGCACTAACAATGCTCACACAAGTATGTATCGCCGTGCACTGTCAATTTGGCTGCGAGCACGAAATAAGCCTGAACTGCTTGTAACTTGAAACGTATTTGTAGAATCTCATTTAACATGGAAGTTAGTCATCTTCTCTGCACAAAAGCTGTAATCATTTCAAACCCCAAGTTAGCATCGTTTGATTGTATTATTCTTTAGTTTGTTTTCTTGTGGTTGGATTTCAAACCGACTATTTTTTGGTGCCAATAGCATTAGGGGCTCACTGCGGAATCGGTCAGGTAGTTATAGCAGTTTGAGCGCCTGCACCATGAAGTTGGGCTTTTGGCATGTAGTAGTATCAACAATTGACAATAAGTCAATAACAACTAGCAATATTTTTCATAAACATCAGAGCCATTACAAAACCGAGCTCACTTAAAAAGTAATACCATACTTGCAGTTCATTTGTGAAATGCAGAACTCATCATGGGGAGATAATAACAGCCAAGATGTATATGTATTCCATGGGAAATAGTTCCAATATCCAGTCTCTTCATCCATTTGATGCGAGAATAAATAGTGTTACATCTCATGCCTGTCAAAGAGAAATGTGAGAATAAATAGTGTTGCATCTTATGCTTGTCCAAGAAAAATTTAGGCCCTGGACTGAACACCATATATAGGAGGAAAAGTAACATTATCCACATGACGGTTTGGCTGCTGACAGTAAACAAGGCACATCAGTCCCTGCAATAGATATGTTATGTGATCAGCACTAATAACTCCAGCGATTGTAATCAAAACCCAAGAATTTAAGAAACGTTGATGGTACTAACCTGTTTTATTAACCTTTCTTGTGCTTTGCGTTTTTTCCAATTCCAGCTCACTAATTTCTAAAGCTCGCATATTTCCATGTCTTTGGCTTCAGTAGCTCTAGCTTTGCACCTGGTGATAGCTTATGTTAGGATTTGTCCATACAAATTTATAGTGACATGAAAAAGCTTACAGCAAGAAGATTCGAGTATATAGCATCTCAAAAGTATATTGCTACATGAATTGTACAGAGTAATTGCCCAATTATCTGTGAAAAAAACAGACATATTACACTTTTGTGCATCCTATTAGTGAAGTTAGGCCCTGTTCGTTTTGCTGAAAAGCCATGGCTGAAAGTACAAATCTTCGTTGGCATCTCTGTTGGAAAGGTAACATCAGTCTTGCGTAAAACTACCTCTTTAGTAGTGTTTGCTATTTAGAAAGTCAAAGTGGCATAATTAAGTGACAAAAAACTTGCAAGTATAGGATCTCGTATGAGCTTCAATGGAAATTCAGGGATTAACGACATGAATAGAAAGGCACCACAATCATGTGTGTGTGCTGCACTTTTCTCCGATCAACATTTGTATATCCAAATACGTCTACTATGAAAATATATGATGTAATTAATCTAATGATGTTTATTTGGTATCACAAAGTATTTTTTTTTCGTATATATTTGGTCAAAGTTGAGATTGTTTGACTCTTCGAAATTTGAGATCAAGACTTATTTTGGGACAGAGGGAGTACTTGTTATGTAGAAAGTCAAAGTGGCACAGTTAATGGAAATTCAGGGATTAATGACATGAAGAGAAAGGCACCACAATCATGTGTGGTGTGCTGCACTTTTCTCCAATGAAAAACATTAAGCTCATTATATCGTTTAACGGTTCTATTAGGAGCAAAGCAAAAGTAGCACACCGGTGACTTCGCAGTTGATCAGTGAACATTCGACCGCACATGTATATTCAAATGATAAATATATCTCAGGACGTAAACGAGATACTACATGCATGCTTAAGGTAATTGATCAGACTCTTATTTTTAGATAGCGAGTAGCAGCTTGACGAAGACAATACACATGAGCAGATGAATTTACACAATTGATGGTGAAACGGCAAAGTTATAGTTTAGTGGATAACTTCGTAGTGAGCATCCAGATTTGTCCAGTCGAGGCTGTCCAGTCGCTGCTGCAGGGACGAAGGGAGCGACTTGATACCTGGGCAGCGTCTAATTACAAGCTTACGGAGAGATGAGCATGCTTGTGGCCCATTGGCCAAGATTGGTGCTAGGCTTTTGCAATCTTGAAGATAGACGCATTCCAGCGTTTGGAGCTCTCCAGAGCTAGGCATTGTTTAGATTGCAAGTTTTTTCACTCTCTTTCCATCACATTAAATATTTGGACATATGCATGGAATATTAAATATAGATAAAAAAATAACTAATTACACAGTTGATTATAAATTACGAGAAGAATCTTTTAAACCTAATTAGACCATGATTAGACAATAATTGTTAAATACAAACGAAAATACTACAATGTCAAATACTGGTTCATAACCCCAATCTAAACAAGACCCTGTATTCCAGTGATCTCAGCTCTGGGCACCTATCAATATCCAGTATTCGGAATGCATCCAGCTGGCCCGAGAGGAGTTGTAGTTTGTCGCATTTCGAAATATCTATTTTCCTGAGGGATGGGGGAAGGTTGACAACCTCTGACAAGCTGCCACACTCGAATATCTTTAGAGATTGAAGGCATGGAAGGAAGCGATCCATGGTCGATGAAGACAGCTGTGGTACAGTACAGCAGCTGTGGATGCCATGACGTCAGTGCTAGGTCCTTGATTCAATGACGGCTTGTCCTGTTGCTCGCCGAAAATGCGCCCTGTTTGCTTGGCTTGTTGTATTTTTTCAGCCAATGAATAGTATTTTTCTCTCATAACAAACTAGCTAACAATACTTTCAACCATAGCTTACCAGCCAAACGAAAAGGCAATGTACTCAAGTTTATGACACCCCCGAACCTTCATTGTCTCCAGAGATGCGGGCACGTTGAAGACTCCAATGAGGTCGTGCATGAGTGAACAGGTCTCTTAAGGTCGATGGTTACTGCTCATGAGTCATGACCATGGCGGGTTAATAACGATGACAAGGACAGAGGCTCCGGCACCAGACAAGCCGAATCAACCAACCTGTGTGCAAGAAATTCGTACCTGCAGTACCGGGGCCGCAAAACGTCGAGCAGCTGGCGTGCAACGCCATCTTCTCGCCCCACCCGGCCCGGGTAAGCGACCACAGAGGGAGCTTCTGCGAAACCTCCCCGCAGCGGCCCCTCTTAGCTCCACGAACGGCCCTCCGCCTCATGAAGCCGCCCTCCGCCGAAGGTCCGGCCGGCGGTGCCTAGACCCACCGAGGGCCGTGCGGGGGACCTTCAGCCACCGCAGCGTCGAGCTCCCCTCGCTCCGTCGAGCCCCGCGGAATCCCCCTCCCTTCGCCACACGACCGTCCGCCCACCAGCTACGCCGGAGACGACCCCACCGGCCTCGCCGGGAGGGCGTGGCGGAGGAGAACGCTGTCGCCCGTCGAGACACCCGTGGATGTCCTCGACTAATCAGCGCAGAAGGCGAAGGATTCGCGCGCGTAGAAGGCGCCACCACCTCGGCCTGCCCCTCCACGCTCTGCACTTGCGGACCTGCAGCGCCGGACTGCCGGTGCCGTCGACGGTGGCTGAACTGAAGCAACTCCGCTCCGAGCCTCCGACGCCTGGCGAAGACGCGACCGGAGAGCCACTGCTCATGACCATGGCAGGTTAGGATTCCTACTGAAGCACGCGGAGATGATCATGGTAGTCCCATTCAGTCCTAAACTACAAAGCCATACACTAGACACTCCCTTACCATAGAAACTAGGTAAAACATACAACCTCGTAGCAATTTTGCGTTGATTTCGTCACACATGCCGCTTGCGTGGAGCGGTTTTGATATGTCAGCTAGTGGTTTCAAAACAAAGGTTTGAAATATGAAAATTGAACTTCCATGGTAGTTAGAGTTTGAAATCTAGATGTCACCTTAATAGAACTTTGCTCATCTACAAAATTCTAATATATTCTTTTGAGAGTCTATTTAGAGTTTTCCTAAGTACAAGATTTTTACTTTTGACAACGAATATTTGTTATAGTAAGATTAAAAGCTAGTAGTCTCTGCCAAGCTCACTCCTCTCTGTCAAGCTCACTTACAAAGAAATGCAGAACACATCAACTCATGGGAAGGTAGCAGCAAAGGTGTGAGTGTATTCCATTGGAAAGAGTATCAATATATCCCGGTCTCCGTATCCATTTGATGTGAGAATAAATAGTGTTACATCTCTTGGTTATTAAGGAGAAATATCAGGTATAAAATTATATCGCCTTCAACAACTTGCATCTGAGGCTATATGGTAATTTAGGCCCTGGAGAGTGAACACCAGAGGACGAAAAGTATCATTATCCACCATGTTCGCTTGATCGTATCAGCCATGCTTATCAGCCATGATATGTTGTTTTTTCTCTCACAACAAAACAAAGATCAGCCGACTTATAAGCCACAAAAACGATCAAGCGAACAGGGTGCATGGTTTGGACGCCGACAGTAAACAAGGCACACCATGACACCTGTCCCTAAAATAGATGGGATATGCAATCAGCACTAATAACTTGAGATGATTGTAATTAAGACCCAATAAGTTAAGAAATGCTGATGCTACTAACCAGTTTATCAACCTTTCAGGTACTTGGTGTTACTTCCATCTCACTAATTGCTACAGCTGGCGTATTTCCATGTCTTTGGCTTCAGTAACTTTGCACCTGGTGATAGCTGATGTTAGGATTTGTCCATAGAAATATAGAGTAACTGAAA